CATGCCATCAACATGTTGCATGTGTTTGATGTGCCACAGAAGTTCAAAGTCATGAGCCTGGTCATTGAAACAATCAAGAGGACTGCAGCAGATCAGAAGAGGAGCTATGAATATGCACCTCAGATTCAAGAATTGATAAACTCAAAGATGGGCACAGGAAAATATCAGTTGGATAAGGAACACTTTCCACTCTATCCAGACTTTGAGGACAATGAGGTTGTCATGAATGAGGATGATCCATCATCAGTTCAAGCTCAGGAGAAGAAGGAGAAGGCAAAGAGGGAGAAGGCTGCCAAGATGCCAACTCAAGAGGAGGCATCTGAATATTTCTTGAAAACCAAACAGGAGCAGCTTGGTTACTTGATAGCATCATCTCTGAGGATTGAGAAGGGGTTGGCCACCCTAACTCAAAACCAGGAGAGCCTGGAAAGAATCATGGAACAAAAATTCTATGATCTAGATGTCAAGGTAACTGAGATTCAGTCGGTTGTGGAGCAGCTGCAGGATGACATGCAGGAGAGGAAGGGCAAAACTACAACCAATGTGTTTGCCAGAGTGCCCAGAGCCCAGAGGTCAGTTGCAGTGCCAGTGACAGACACTAGAGCAACATCTTCAGCACCAACTACTGCCCCTTCAGCTCTAGTGCAACCAGCTTCAGCATCAACTCCAGCACCCTCTACATCAACTGAAGCCTTCGTCCTTGGAGTCATCAGGACACCACCACCAGAAGATCAAGCCTGAGAGTCGATCTAGCACAATGCATTTTCTATGAACTTTTTGGTAACTTGTTGCCAAAGGGGGAGAAAAATGTATAGTTCATAGGCTTCGAGAGAGAGTGTGTTGCTTTTGTTCTCTCTTGCTTTATTTGGTGTTTTTTCAATCTTTGTTTGCTTTTGGTTGAGATACTATGCTTGTGAGACATTGATGATCATGTGTTTGATCATAAGCTACACTTATGCATGTTTGATGATATTATCCTATCTATCTTATGTGATCATTCACTATGCTTGGTGATGAGTGCATGTATTCATTTTTTATTATTTTGAGTGCTCCACCAAGATGTATGTGACATGGAAGAGTAACCCATGAGCCTAATTCATTGTGCATTTGCAGTCCAAAGCAAATCTAAAACTATGCACAAATTTAGGGGGAGCTCTTGCTTATCACATACTTCTCAAAGCGACGATGTTATTTAAATTTTATTATCATTTGTCGAAGCTTTGATCTATATGTTGTCATCAATTACCAAAAAGGGGGAGATTGAAAGTGCAACTATCCCTAGGTGGTTTTGGTAATTCATAACAACATATAGCTCATTGAGCTAATGCTATTCCAAGACTATTATTTCAGGAAAGCTCAATGAATGGCATGGCATGGATGATGAAAGTGGATCCCTCAAAATACTAAGGACAAAGGATTGGCTCAAGCTCAAAAGCTCAAGACTCTTCATTTTATATTTTAGTGATCCAAGATCACATTGAGTCTATAGGAAAAGCCAATACTATCAAGAAGGAATGAGGTGTTGCTTAATGAGCCTCTTGCTTCATGTGCTTAGTGATATGCTCCAAAACCCTCAACTACTTTCCCACATCCACAAATGACCTAAACCTAAAGCCAAAATCGGTCACACCGATTCTTTCTATCCGGCGCCACCGATTTCAAAAGTCATAGTCACTGCCACAAACCCTAAGCAAATTCGTCTTTCCGATAGGGATCTCGGTCTCACCGAGATGGGGTTGCAATCTCTCTGTTTCCCTTCGTAACGTTTCGGTCTAACCGAAGTGAACGATCGGTCCCACCGAGATTGCAATGTAAACTCTCTGTTTCCTTTTTGTAACATTTTGGTCTCACCGAAAAGAGCAAATCGGTCCCACCGAGTTTACCTGACCAACTCTTTGGAAAGCTTATTACCAAATCGGTCTCACCGAGTTTGTGTAATCGGTCTTACCGAGATTACGTTATGCCCTAACCCTAACCGGATCGGTCTCACCGAGATGCATGTCAGTCCCACCGAAAATCACTAATGGTCACTAGGTTTACTAAATCGGTCCGACCGAGTTTAACGATTCAGTCCCACCGAGTTTGGTAAATTGTGTGTAACGGTTAGATTTTGTGTGGAGGCTATATATACCCCCCCCTCCACCTCCTCTTCATTCGTGGAGAGAGCCATCAGACTAAACCTACACTTCCAACTTACCATTTTTGAGAGAGAACCACCTACTCATGTGTTGAGGCCAAGATATTCCATTCCTACCATATGAATCTTGATCTCTAGCCTTCCCCAAGTTGCTTTCCACTCAAACCCTCTTTCCACCAGATCCAAATCCTATGAGAGAGAGTTGAGTGTTGGGGAGACTATCATTTGAAGCACAAGAGCAAGGAGTTCATCATCAACGCACCATTTGTTACTTCTTGGAGAGTGGTGTCTCCTAGATTGGCTAGGTGTCACTTGAGAGCCTCCGACAAGATTGTGGAGTTGAACCAAGGAGTTTGTAAGGGCAAGGAGATCGCCTACTTCGTGAAGATCTACCGCTAGTGAGGCAAGTTCTTCGTGGGCGACGACCATGGTGGGATAGACATGGTTGCTTCTTCGTGGACCTTTCGTGGGTGGAGCCCTCCGTGGACTCGCGCAGCCGTTACCCTTCGTGGGTTGAAGTCTCCATCAACGTGGATGTACGATAGCACCACCTATCGGAACCACGCCAAAAACATCCGTGTCTCCAATTGCGTTTGAATCCTCCAAACCCTTCCCTTTAGTTTCTTGCAAGTTGCATGCTTTAATTTCCGCTGCCTATACACTCTTTGCATGCTTGCTTGAATTGTGTGATGATTGCTTGACTTGTCCTAAAATAGTTAAAATCTGCCAAACTCTAAAATTGGGAAAAGGTTAAGTTTTTAGTTGGTCAAGTAGTCTAATCACCCCCCCCTCTAGACATACTTCAAGGTCCTACACAACTTCACCCTCGACTCACAACCGGAGCCCGGTCTTTTAGTCCAAATTGCAAGTCCACCTTCAACTCGCAATGGGGACCAATTTTTTTGTACCAATTGCAAGTCCACCATTGACTCAACTGGGTTGTAAGTCCACCTTTGACTCGCAACTGGGCCTAATCCAGTTGCAAGTCCACCATCGACTCACAACTGGAGCCCAACCTTTTTTCCCAATTGATAGTCCAACCCGACTCACAATCGGAGTCAACCTTTTTTTTATCCCGGTTGAAAGTCTACCGTCGACTCACAACTGGCCCAACCTTTTTTGTCTGAGTTGGAAGCCCACCTTGACTTGCAATTAGAGCCCAGCCTCTTTTTGTCTCAGTTGCAAGTCCACCCTCGACTCATAACTGGGGCCCAACACTTTTTTGTCCTAATTGCAAGTCTATCCTCTACTCGCAACTAGTGTGTGACCGTTTTTGTCCCAGTTGCAGGTCCACCCTTGACTCGCAACTGTGCCCCGACCCGGTTTTGTCCTCGTTGCTTGTCCACCCTCGGCTCTCAACTAGGGCTCAACCTTTTTTCCAGTGGCAAGTCCACATTCGACTCGTAACTGGGGTCCGACCTTTTTTTGTCTCAGTTGCAATCCCACTCTCGAGTCGTAACTGGGGCCCGACCTTCTTTGTGTCCCAGTTGCAAGTCCATCCTCAACTCACAACTAAGGCCAGATCTTTTTTTATCTCAATTTTATTAAAAATTCATGAACATTTGTCTTAGAATTATGAACTTTTTTTAAATCAAGATTTTCATGTTTGTTGTTTAAAAAAATTAATGAACTTTTTCCAAATTTCTTGACATGTTTTTCACAAACATATTTTTTCGTATTCGCTATCTTCTTTGATTTGTGAAAATTTTCAAATTTCTCACTCCTTTCTAATTTGTGGACTTTTAAAATTTGCAAATATTTCTTTTATTTCACCAAATAGTTTATAAAAAACAGAGAAAAAAACATCACAACATTTCTCACGAGCTCTACATCGAGACACCTCATATTTTCGCCAAGGAGACCCAGTGTTTTACCAATTCTTCATATGTACATTCATCAAGCCACATAAGGAGACCCACTGTTTTACCAATTCTTCATATGTACATTCATCAAGCCACATGCAATGGTTCAAACATGCCAAACTCTAAATGTAGCCAAGTCACGACACGGGACAAGCTGTAGCCAGAAGCCCAGATCCACCCATGAACAACTTGTTTTTTCTGTTTTGTGCAACAACAACAAAACCCAACCAACAACAGAAACAACCAAGACTAAAAAGCCAATATTTATCTTCCGATGTGCAATGATGTCATAGTTAGATGTGAGATATTATCTTAAATTTAGATATGCCATATAATGCATGTACACATATACTGTGTACATTGTAATTGGTACACCCTCCGCCCGAAAATATTTGTCATCAAAATGGATGAAAAATGATGTATCTAGACGTACTTGTCATCAAAATGGATGAAAAATGATGTATCTAAAACTAAAATATGTCTAGATACATTTTTTTATTCATTCTGATGGCAAGTATTTTCGAACGGAGAGACTACTGTATTAAAAAACAAATAAAAACAGATATTTGGTTTCAAAAAGCTCTCGAGGGACCATTAACACTCACTCCGCCCGTAACGCCACCAAACCTGGCCAAAGCCTGGCATGACATTCTGCCAACCGGGCCCCAACCTAGAAAAACCTCCAAATGTCGTGTGCGTGCGGTGCACAACCTAGGGCAGAGTAGAACTGGTCTGGTCCAGCTCCACGCCTAGTCGCCTCCACCGTTTGCACCTCCCCTGCTTTGCTTTATATAACGACCGGCCGTGCGATCGATCCACCCCCATCCACGGCTTCCATCCCATCCCCGAATCTCACTTCGCACTTCGAAAACAAAACGCACCCATCTCCTCCTTCTCCTCCAGGTGCTCCGCGCCGGCCGCCGCCGCGCATAGGTTAGCCCATCGCCCGATCCATCGATTCCATTCCAGCGACGGCGCTGCTGCAAGGTCGTGGTCGCAGGATGGTGGTCGGTTTCCGCCGCACGATCTCGTTCCCCGCGCCCAAGTCCGCGCCGGCGGCGGCGGCGGGGTCGAATGGGAAGTCCGCGGCCGGCTACCGCGTCCGCTCGGCGAGCCTGCCATGCCGTTTCCACCCTCTGGTGCTCCAGCTCGACGAAGACGTGGCGGCGCTGCGCGATCTGGCGGGGGGTCTGGCGTCGGCCGCGTCGGCGCGCTCGATCGCGGAGGCCGCGGAGCAGCTGGGGCGGGTGCTGGTGTCGCTCTCCGAGCTGCTCCACCACCCGCAGGCCCAGGAGCCGCTGCGGCGGCTCGGCCGGTCGCCGTTCGCGGAGCGGCTGCTGGACGACTTCCTCCGCCTGGCCGACGCGCACGGCAGCTTCCGCGACGTGCTGGTCGCGCTCACCGCGCTCCAGGCCGAGGCGCGCGCGGCGCTGCGGCGCGAGGACCCGGCGCGCCTGGCGTCCGCCGCGCGCGGGCTTCGTCGGTCCGGCCGCGACCTCCCGCGGATCGCCTCCTCCGCCCGCGCCGTAGCCGGTAAGGCGCCGCCTCCTGCGCCCGCGGGCCTCCCGTCGGACGCGGCCGCTCTTGCCGCCGCCATCGTCGACGCGGCGGCGGCCGTCGCGTCTGCCTCGGCCGCGGTCTTCTCCGGCGTGTCCGCCCTGTCCATTGCCGCTGCCATGGCCCGCGTCGACGTCGTCAGCGCACCGTGCTGGATGCCCTCTCCGGCAAGGTTCGCCTCCTCGTCGGCCGCGCCGAGAACCGGCCACCACATCGTCACCACCAAGCCCTCTTCCATGCGCATATGGTGGGTCGCCGACCTGATGCGCTGGATGTCGCGTGCGAAGCGCCGGTCGGCGAGCAAGCAGCACGCCGACGACGGCTCCTCCGCCAAGCAGCCCCAGCCTGACGCGGCCCTGGTCGACCTAGACCCGGAGGAGGAGGACCGGAAGGCGGCGTTTGAGCGCATGGACAACCTCGGGCGGTGCATTGCGGACGTGGAGAACAGCGGCGAGAACGTCTTTCGCGCTCTCGTCAACACCAGAGTCTCCCTGCTCAACATTCTCAGCCCAAGCTTCTGAAGAATAGTGATCCGCAGACGTTGAAGTCATCAACAGTCTCTCGACTTATGTGATGAAATTTGTATATAAAAATGGTCGGCTTGTTTAGCTTAGTACTCCAGTACCACCAGTAGAACATCAATTGCAGCCGAAGTAAAAGAGATTTCCGTTTTGTGTTGCCAACTCTGCATATTTGAAGAACATCTTCAGAAATTACCGTTTCGCAACGCAGGACGCGCAGCCTGAGCCGCCGGGAGTTCAAGACTAGACACGCGCGCGCTTTTGGCTGGGACGAGTGGCGAACGATGGGTTCATTCCGGATCGTTGGGTGGGATTGGTGGGGTCACGTGGATGGAATCATACGAGATCGGTATGGCGATCTTGGACGTGCTTTCTCCAGCACGATTCGATCGTAGGGCGCTCGACGCTGGCGCCAATCACGCCGATCGAATGATCTGCCTGCCGTCGTGGGCTATGGCAGCCCGTTCTGGCCGTTTTCCTTTCCCGCTTTCTCTATGCCAAGCTTCAGGTTTGAAGTCCAATGCTGTCCCTGGGCAGTGAGGCAGGTCGCCAGGGGTCATGGCTGGCAACAGCAAGGAGAGGAGATGGCAATGGCATCCCAAAATAAGACCACGTGCGATGCGAAATCGTTGAGATTTGGCGACGTCTCCGTAGCTTCTATTATGCGACTCTGAAAGTGGTGATCCATGATCGGCGACGACGAGAGTGATTAGCGATTAGTGTAGTAGTTTTGAGTGTTCGAGGAATCTGCTGAATCACGTTACGTGCATCTTTGGGAGTAATGCCAAGGGAGGCAACTTAATCAAGTCCATCACTCAACCCACGTACTCACTCCATAACTAGTAATTCTTTTTGCCGAAATCCGTAAACTAATATAAAAGCCTTTAGATAATCAGAGGGAGTACTTATGAAGCTGCTAACATGAAAGTTCTTACTACTACCACCAGCTCTGTTGTGGTCAGGGGATTCGCTTCCGCTAGTAGTACTACTAGTGGCTTCGCCAAATGATTGACTCACGCATTGAGGTACAAATGGCATATCTCATTGTTACTGTGTCTAGTTGGAGTGTTCCAGCGGATTGTTTTTGGTTCCCCTGACATGGTTTTTTTTTTTTTGAAAGATCGGGGTTGTCCGGCTTCATTGATTTAGAATTGATTTAGAAGGAAGCAATGGGAAACAAGGTGATCAAGCGATCAGTGGGGTGTTACATAGAGAAAGAGAAAAGCAAAAACGAAAGGATGCACGGCCACTATCTCATGTTTGGGTCCCCGAACGGGGGCTCTAGGCAGACTGCTCCGGCCAGTCTCCATTGCTCGATGTTTGTGCGGATGGCACAGATGATATCTTCGCTTGAAGGAGTCTTGGCTCCAAACACGCAATTGTTCCTCTCCTTTCAGATTTCCCATGGGACCATCAATAGCATTGATCTGACGCCGTGCTTGTGAGCTTCCGGAATCAGGTTGATCATTTTTTGACAGCGAGTGATCGACGATCTGCCTTGTGCCCACGGGAGGTGGAGCATGGCACAACCCTGCCATGAGGCAACTCGTTGCCAGATTACAGCAGAGAATGGGCACTCCCACATCAGGTGAAAGGATGTTTCCAAATTTCTCATGCAAAGCGGGTAGAAGTAACCGTTCGACCAACCTCTTCTCTGCAGACGATCATTGACCCATAATCTGTTGCGGTGCAGCAGCCCAGGCAAATAGCTTCACATTGTCGGGGGCCCAACTTTTCCATATTATTGACTTGAAACCAGTGGTCGTTGGGGACTGATGGAACTTGAAGCGATATGTTGCCAGTGTGGTGTAAGCATTGCCTCCTCCCGCCGTCCATCGAATTTGGCCCGACAGCTCTTCGTGAATCACAACGCCCGGGGTTTGAATTCTTCTCCAGAGCTGCAGAAATTCATTCTCGATTTCCAGTGTGTTACCGTGCTGCAGGTCTCTAATCCATTGCTCATTGAGGAGGGCCGCAGCCACAATTCCGTTTTTTCTTCTAGAGTGCTTGAAGAGGGCTGGGTAGGATGAGCAGAGAGGGGTCGGTCCGAGCCATGAGCATTTCCAGAAACTTGCGGACTGCCCATTGCCAATGGTGACCTGGGTGGCCCTAGCGAACAGAAACTGGTCCTTGGGGTCAGTGTCGATAGGGAAGGCCCTCCAAGGCCGATTTGGTTCCTGCCAGGACTGCCAGAGCCAACGCAGGCGAAGGGCGGAGCCGAATCGTTGGAGGTTTGGCATGCCCAGTCCTCCCTTGTCGACCGCCGAGCATACTAAATCCCAGGCTACCTTGCATTTGCCACCTGCCAGAGCTTCGTCTTGAGCCCAAAGAAATCTGCGTCTCGACTTGTCCAACTCTTTGAGGATCTTTTTGGGGACCTTGAGCACCGTGAGTGCATAGGTAGGCAACACAAACAGGACGGCATGCACCAACACTCGACGGCCAGCCAAATTCATCAGTTTCCCCTTCCGACCCGCAAGGCAGGCGCGGACAAGGTCAATCAAGAACTGAAGTTGCACCAGACGCAGTTTTCTCGGGGATAGCGGCAGACCTACATAAGTTGTCGAAAATGCAGCAGTCTGACCTTTGAACTCCTGTAGCACATCCGGCAAGGACACCTGATCACAGTTTATAGGTATCACCGTTGATTTCTCCTGATTCAGTTTCAGTCCTGTGGCTTGACCAAAAGAAATCAGCAGCTGAAGCAAGTTGTCCACTTCTTCCTTGATTGGATTTGCGAAAATGACTGCATCGTCCGATAAAGGCTTATCCTCAAATTCATTCCGCGACCCGGAAGGGGGGCCAGCACGCCACGATCGCCGGCAGCTTCCAGCAGCCAGTGGAGAGGGTCGATCGCCATGATGAACAGCAGATGGGAGAGGGAGTCGCCTTGCCTCAGCCCCTTGCCGTGCTTGAAGGAGGGCCCCATGATGCCATTGAGGAGGCAGGAAGGAGAGGCAGAGCTGAACATCGGCGCCATCCAATCCCTCCATTTAGATGGAAAACCCATCTGCTGCATGAGTTCGAGCATGTATTCCCAGCAGATGGAATTGAATGCTTTGGCGATATCCAGCTTGAAAAACAGAGCGCTTTTCTTGTGATGGTGCAACATCTTGATGCAACTTTGAACGTATAGATAGCTGTCATGAATACATTTGCCCTTTTGAAAACCAGATTGCACCGGGGAGATGGTGTTTCTGAGAGCACCAGCCAGCTTGATGGAGAGGACCTTGGAAATGGGCTTTGCCACAGAGTGAATGAGGCCGATTGGTCTGTAGTGACCCAGTTGACTTGCTCCGTTCTTTTTAGGCAACAGGCCGATGAGCGCAGTATTGATCTCGGTGAAGTTCTGACCAGCCAGTTGATGGAATTTGTGGAATGCTGCCATGATCTCGTCTTGGATTATTGGCCAACAAGACTTGTAGAATTGACCCGGGAACCCGTTAGTAGGGCCTGGGGCCTTTTCAGATGGGGAGGCGATGATCGTCGCCCACACCTCTGCGATAGATAAAGGCGAGACAAGCCCCTAATCGTCAATTTGAGGAATGTGGATCGCCTCCCAGTTAATCACTTTCTCACGCTGATCCCGTTGCCCGATACCAGCAGCAAAATGCTCGAACACCGCATCTTCCTTAGCAGAGTGATCAAGTAATTCTCTATTGCCTACTGTCAGTGAGTGGATGAAGTTTCTCCGTCTGCGGGCTCGCATCTTAGCATGGAAAAGCTTAGTGTTGGCGTCGCCTGCGCGTAGCCAGCCAATCCGGGAAGCTTGCCTCTTCCTAGCTCCGGCAATTGCGGTAATACCAAGGACTTTGATCTTTAGCTGCTTTCTGAGATGAAATTCAGCACTTGAAAGCTTTCTGAATTCATGTGCAGTGTCAAACCTCAATATCACCTCATTGGTGACGTGGAACTGCATTTTCATCTGGCCAAAGGTGGCCTTGCTCCAAATCTTCAGATCATCCGCCACTCTGGCCAGCCTTGTTTTGATCCTGACGAAAGGGCAGTCGTGGTTGACAGGTCGGTGCCAAGCATGTTGCACCATTTCAAAGAAGTGAGGAAACTTTGGCCAAAAGTTTTCGAATCTGAAACGGGCTGGTCTGAATGGAGCAGTGGCTTTGGTGAGCAGCAGCGGGAAGTGGTCCGAGAAGGAAGTTGATGCTGCAGTCAGAATGAAATCCGGGTGGTTTTCCTCCCACTGAGAATTGCAGAAAAATTTGTCGATGCTGCAGAGGGTTGGATCTTCTCTTTCGTTGCTCCAGGTGAATCTACGGTTTTTACATTTGACCTCTCTCAAATCAGCTGCATCAATCGCTCTCCTGAATTTCCCCATCATCCTTGTGTTCAAGTTGGAGTTGTTCTTGTCCCTTGCCTGGTAAATCATGTTGAAATCACCGTTGATAAGCCATGGTTCCCCCGCCAGGGGGGGGACATTAGATAGCTCAGTTAGGAATTTGTCCTTCTGTGTATCATCAGTTGGGCTGTAGACTGTAGTAAGCCAAAACCCTACTCTAGTGGAAAGAAGATCTACCCTAGCAGTGACCGCGAATCTACCTATCCTATGGGAAGAGACATCGACTACAAGCTTGTCCAAGAAGATCGCCGCACCTCCTCTCGTACCTACCACCGGAAATACTATACAACCCTGAAGATTTGGGCCTCCTACCTCGCATGCTAGTGCAGACGACCATGATTCTATTTTCATTTACTAGAGACACAACACCGAAACTTTGTGCGCCTGCAGTACTTCGCAGATTGCCGACTGACGAGTAGGGTAGTTCAAGCACCGGATATTCCAGGACATGTAGTTTAGATGATCGTCATTCATGGGGATACCATGAAGTTCTCCATTGTCTATCCTTACTGATGGAAAGCAAATCACCACCTTACAACGAGTTGGGGGCGACGACTGCAACCACTAGGCCCAAAACCCCGTCGTCGACAAGCTAACCACAATCTTAGCACCTGAAACATGAAGACCAGCCGACGACGAAGACTAA